GATAGATAGATAGATAGATAGATAGATAGATAGATAGATAGATAGATAGATAGATAGATAGATAGATAGATAGATAATAAAGTTTTTTAAAAGAGCAACCTGTGCTCTTAGCTGCTGAGCCATCTCTCCAACCTCTAAAAGTCTGTCTCAGTGTTCCTTTCTCATGGAAACCTCAAGCAGGAATGTTCTCAGCCCAGGAATGTTTTCCTATGGACTTTGAGTTTGCATCTTAATGTTATTTTTATACTCTGCGTGCTGTTTTTTGTGTACTATATAAATAGAAAAAAAATCAACTAGCAACTTAGTTGAGGAATTGGAACAGAAAATTGGGCAATGAGGAGTGGGGAGAATAAAAAATAAAAATGCCAATTTCCCCCTCTGTGGTTCTTAAGACAGAGTTGCTACACAGAGAAACTTTGTCTCAGAGAGAAAGAAAGAGAGAGAGAGAGAGAGAGAACAAAGAGACAGAGTCAGAGAGACACAGAGAGAGCAGCCATGGGGCTTCTGCTTTTCTTCATTCAATTTAGAACTGCAGGTATGCAAATCCTAATTTACCTAATGTCTAATGTGCTTTAGACAGAACAGAGTCCATGCAATTGTATGTGTGTCATTTAGCTGGAATTAAATTAGTTTCACATTTAGTACTTTGCTCTAGTCATTGTAGCGTGGAAAATGGCATCTTTTGGTTCTGTAGAAAATTACTTGACTCTGTATTAGAAGGTAACACAGTGAATGCAGGCTGGGAATTGTTGGTATTTTCATTGTAGACGTCTTTTTCCTGCAACAGGGTTTCACTATGTCGCTTTTTAGCTGTCCTGGATCTCGCTCTGTAGACCAGACTGGCCTCTGCCTCCCAAGTGCTAGGATTAAAGGAGTGAGCCACCTGGCTCATTGTAAACTTTTGAAAAAGACTCACAGGTAAATCAAAGAACAGGGACTGGAGAGATTGCTCCATGGTTAAAAGAGCTCTTGCAGCGGGCCCTAGTTCAGTTCTTAGCAGGGGATCTGAAGCTCTTTACTGCCCTCTGCTGGCACCAAGGACACACAGGAGGTGCACACACATGCAGGCAGACATCCGTACGCACAAAATACAAAGACATAAAATTTTAAACTAGAAAACATGTTGATTCCTGTAGATCAGCCAGACGGCATTCCTTCTACTTTCGGTGGCTAAACTGTGTCCTCTTTGATAAATGGCAAACAATGGCAATTCCATGTCATGATACTTTATCCAGGCTATGAGGAATTAAATGCATTAGGGCTTCCCCATCAAAAGAAAACATCAAATATAAAACTATGACATAAGGATGGTAATTTAGGCACATCAAGACTATCGAAAGTGATGTGTATTTTGAAAAATCTTAGGTTAGTTCAAGGTTAACAAACTTCTGATCTTCAAGCAAAATACCAACATTATGGGATTAATTTGTGACAGGGTAGGTTTCACCCACAGCTGCAACCCTGATTTTCTCAGGGAGTTTTTTTCCTTCATTGTTAAGACTGCTCTTGGTCTTAGAAAATAGGCCTTCAGCATTTAAGGGGCAAAAGGGAATAATACATACAATCTACTCTCAAGAAGTCCAAAATATGAAAAGTACATACAAAGATATATGGAAAGGTAGAATCTCCTAGGTCTTCAAGAAACAACGTGGTGGTTACTGAAGATTTCCAGTCCCTGATCTCTAATTTGAATATTTTTTTTTTCTTTTTTCATTTTGCAAAATGTCTGCCTAGCCCACTTCACTAAGACCTAGGTGGAGCCACAGAGCTATTGCTCATAAAACATACAGACCTAAAAGTCCCTCCCTTCACATGAACTCTGGGGCTAGCTCTTTGATCTCCCCATCCCCGTGGGAGAAGCAGCCTAGCTAGGCCACAAAGGAAGATACCGCAGCCAGTCCTGGTGAGACCTGATAAGCTAGGGTCAGATGGAACGGGAGAAGGACCTCCCCTATCAGTAGACTTAGAGAGGGGCATGGGAGGAGATAATGGAGGGAAGGTGGGGATTGGGAGGGAATGAGGGAGGAGGCTACAGCTGGGATACAAAGTAAATAAATTGTATTTAATATAAAAAATAAAAAAAGAGTAAAAAACAAAAACAAAAACCTCTGTCCCTTCGTTCCCCCTTGGCCTTGGCACCAGATCTTCTCACAGAGTTCTTTGGCGTGCCAGGGCTTTCCCCATGTGTAATGGTTCAGTTTTTTTTGTTTGTTTGTTTGTTTTGTTTTGTTTTTTGTTTTTTTAAATGTCAACTTGATTGGAGCAAGAAGCTTTAGCTGTGCATTAATGAGACACATCTTTGGGCGTGTGTGTGTGTGTGTGTGTGTGTGTGTGTGTGTGTGTGTGGTGGCATTTCTAGAGAGGGATAAGAGGGAAAGATCCACCCCTAATGCGGGTGGCACAGTCCAATGGGCTAGCATCTCCAACAAATGAAAAGAGAAAAAGAAGACAACCAGAAGAGTGCTGGGACTCCCTGTTTCCTTTGTCCTGATCCGCCCCATCTGAGCAAGCAGCCTTACGCTCCTGCTGCCTCAGCTGTCAGCAGCTCCTGTTGCCACATCCTCCCCACCAGGGTGGATTGCAATCCCAGACAATGAGTTAAAGTAACGTCCTTCATCCTCTGACAGGCGTTTTGTCAGGGCCAGGAGAAAAGTCGTTAGTTATACTGTATCGATATCCTATTTTCTTTCTTTCTTTTTTTTTGAGACAGAGTATCTATGTAGTCCTGACTGTCCTGAAACTCACTATATAGACCAGACTGGCCTTCAACTCACAGAGATCTGCCTGCCTCAGTCTCCTGAGTGCATGCCAGGTAATATTCTATTTTGTAAGTTGGGCTGGAGAGATGGCTCAGCTGTTAAACGCTAAGATCACAAACAAAAATTTACTTTCTCAAAATGCGATTGCAGCACACCTCTTTTCCTTGAGAGTTAGGTAAGAGAACATAAGCCACATTCTTCTAAGTATTAATAACAGTATTTATTGATTACTCTCAAGGCTGGACAAGAATCAGAATTACATGGAGGGCTTTTTAAACTTCCTATTTCAATTGGAATTCCATATAACTCTTTTCCCATCTGTGAAAATGATTAGGTATAAAAGCACAAAATTAATATATATTGAAATATGTATTTCATATTTGAATATCTATTTAACCTTTAAAAACTACTTATTTATTTAATATGTTTGTATCTGAGTGTATGTGTTTGTACCACAAAAGTACAGGAGCCCACAGTGACCAAAAGAGGACCTCAGATCTCCTGGGTGATGGGAATCAAACTCAGGACTTCTGCAGGATTAGCAAGTGCTCTAAACCACTCACCTATCTCTCCAGCCCTTAGAATGGTGTTTGAAAGCTGAGAATTGATGACTCTTTTAAGTTTAGGAAACTTTAAATGTTCTTTCTTCTTGTTTCCAGTCAGCAGACTTGGCTAATAGAAAAAGATGCTCTTTTCACAAAAGCAGGATTTGGCTTTAGAAGTCCTAATCATCCAATATTCTACACGATTAGTAATTAATTACACAGAGAAGCATGTCAATGAGAAAGTGATTGCCAATCCTTGAAATAAAGGAAGAAGTAATCAAGTTTAATTGATTTTTAAAAATCTCATTTCTTAATGTTAGTCTTCTCTTGCCTGCCATTCTACTCCTCCTTCACGCCTCCCCCTTTCACGTAGTTACAAGTACTGTATCTGTCTTTTAATTGATGGTCAGTAGGAAGTTACCTTGGGGAAGGCAACTGACTAAGAGGGACTTATTGACCAAAGCAAGATGTGTAAATCACCCTTTACAGAAGCAGTGAAAGCACAGAGCCGAAAGCCGGGGAAAGACAGGTTTTGCTACTAGTGCATTTGGGAAGTATGAAATTGTTACAGAAGGGATCAAAATTCCTGGAATTCCGTGTCCTGAAATGTTACGCTTACGTCTTCTCTCCCATCTTCCTGCATCACTTTTTCATGCTAACCATGTGGTTTATAAAGGCCAGCGTTCCAGCTGAGCTGAGAAAGCTCAGTAGGTAGAAAGTGCCTAGAGCCAATACTTAATTAAACTACCAGAAGGACGTAATGGGCTGGTGTGCCTGGCAACACTCAGGCTTTGCTAATCAACCACACTTATTGCCTACTTTGAAAAGAGGACACATTAAGCTGAGATGAGTCCTCATAAATATTTAGTGTTCCATATGGCTCATGAATATTTAGTGCTTACCTGGTTCTCTCATTCCCTCCTGTCTATATATTCAACACTCCTGAGCTCTGCTTAGCGCAAATCTATTACCTGTACAGCACTTTTTGTTGTCGTTGCTTTCTTTCATTTCTACCTCAGGACTGGTCCCTCCACTGATGGTAGAGCAGAACCCAGGACTTTGTGCATTGCTCCGCTATGGGGGCACATCCTCAGCTCAGAATCAAATCTGTTTTTGTTTTGTTTTGAGGCAGGGCCTCACTGTGACTCTATGTATGGCTGGCCTGGAACTGACAGAGATCAACCTGTGTCTGCCTTCCAAGAGCTGGGATTGAAGGTGTGTGACGCATGCTCAGCCTCAGAATTGCACATTCTATTATTATTATCATTACTATTATTATTATTACTGCTACTACAATGCTCTGCCTGCATGTACGCCTGCTGGCCAGAAGAGGGCACTACCAGATCTCATTATAGATGGTTGTGTGCCACCAGCCACCATGCGGTTGCCGGGAATTGAACTCAGGACCTCTGGAAGAGCAGCCAGTGCTCTTAGCCTTTGTGCCATCTCTCCAGCCTTTGCATATTCTTAAATGCTACAGCAATA